ACCACCACCACCTGCACCCCCTAGCTACACCCAGCTTTTTTTTTTTTTTTTTTTTTTTTTCCGTTTTTCGAGACAGGGTTTCTCTGTGTAGCTTTGCGCCTTTCCTGGGACTCGCTTGGTAGCCCAGGCTGGCCTCGAACTCACAGAGATCCACCTGGCTCTGCCTCCCAAGTGCTGGGATTAAAGGCGTGCGCCGCCACCACCGCCCGGCCTACACCCAGCTTTTTATGTGGGTGCTTGGAGCAGAACTCAGGCCTTCATGCTTGCTAGTGGAATAGGAGTTGATAAGGCTGGGGATGGAGAGGAGAAGCCCAGGGCTAACTCCTAAGGTATGAGGTTGCTCAGGGCTCAGTGAGTGTGAGCACCCATAGGACACAGTGGCAATGATCCAGAGCTGCAGCTCAGTGGCTAGACCACAGCAGGAGACAGGGGCTTGGGGATCTGGCACCACGATTGAGCCTGCATCCACCAAGCAGTGTAGAGTGAGAAAAGGTCCTAGATGGAGGCTGGAATCAGTTTGCCTTTGATGCTTCTGGGGATGGATTTTTTTTTTTCTTTTTTTTTTAATTTTCAAGACAGGGTCTCTCTGTGTAGCCCTGGGTATCCTGGAACTTGCTCTGTAAACCAGGCTAACTTCGAACTCACAGAGATCTGCCTGCCTTTGCCTCCTGAGTGCTGGGGTTAAAGGTGTGGGTCACCACTGCCCGGCTTGGGGGTGGATCTTAGAGCATCCTGTTTTAGGCCAAGTGTCCTTCACTGAGCCGCCTCTTTGCCATCATTGGCACCGTCCAGCTCCCGGTCAGCCTTTTAAAGTGCTCACAATTTTATATGCATGCTGTGTGCACCTGGGTGTATATATGTTCATTGCCTGTGTGTGCACATGCCCATGGAGGCCAGAAGAGGGCACTGGATTCCCCAGAACGTAGGTCCAGGTGGTTGTAAGCTGCCTGGTATGGGGCTGGGGAACCAAACCAAGCCTGCAAGAGCAGCAAGTGCTCTTAACCACTGACCCATCTCTCCACACCAGCTTCTTGTTTGTTTGTTTGAAGACAGGATGTCTCTGTGTAGCTCTGGCTGTCCTGGAACTTGCTCTATAGACCGGGCTGGCCTCGAACTCACAGAGATGCCTTTGCCTGCCTTTGCCTCCTGAGTGCTTGGATTAAAGGCATATGCCACCAACGCCTGGCTACCAGCTTCTTTATTTAAACATTTGTGTGTGTGTGTGCATGTGTGTGTGTGTATATGTATGTGTGTGTGTGTATGTGTGTGTATGTGTGTGTGTGTGGTGTGTGTGTGTGTGTATATGTGTGTGTGTGTATGTGTGTGTGTATGTGTATGTGTGTGCGGGTGTGTGTGTGTGTGTGTGTGTGTGTGTGTGTGTGTGTGTACAAGGCAACTTGCAAGGGTCAGGTCTCACCCTGTACCACGTGGGTCCCAGGGACTTGAACTCAGGTCCTCAGACCTGGCACCACCCTTTCTCACTGAGTTACCTTGCCAGCCCCCAGTCAGTTTTTAATTTCAAGTAACAGGAGGCAGCGGTGGCCCAGAAGACGGAGATGAGCAGCCGGAGGGCTGGGGGCACACACCAGCCTGTGGCCCTCCTTCCCAGGAGGTTGGTTGGGGGGACAGATGCTTCGCTGCTCTAGAGGGCCACTGGAGTCAGATCCCAGTTGCTTCAGTGGTGACCTCAGCTTTGCAAACTCAGTGATAACTGCTCAGCTCTGAAGGCACAGGAAGGTCACTCAGGAAGCCCTGGCACCTAAATTCTGGAAGGACACAAGTCTCTGTGCATAGGACGTGGTAGTAGAATCTGATTCTGGGGGCTGGACAGTCCTTTGTCCCCATCTCAAGGCTGCCGTCATCTCTGGACCAAAGGCATGTCGCAGTTCTACCCCGTCCCCATTCCCCCTCTCTCCCCCCTGCCTTCCACGCTTTGCCCAGCAATCACAGCAACACTGAAAATGGAGACAGGATCACTTCAGTCACTCTCTTGTTTAAAATCCTTAGTGTCACCTCATGACAACCGAGCACAATCTAAGGTCCTCAGCTCGTCCACAAAACCAAAGCACACCAAGCCAGATGAGAGCCAGGCCCCAACCGGTTCTCCAATCTTTTTTTTGTGTGGCGGGGGAGGCGGTCATTTCGAGAGAGGGTTTTTCTGTGTAGTTTTGGAGTCTGTCCTGGAACTTGCTTTGTAGACCAGGCTGGCCTCAAACTCACAGAGATCCGCCTGCCTCTGCCTCCTGAGTGCTAGGATTAAAGGTGTGGGTCACCATTGCCTGGCTCAATAACCAATCTTTTTTTTTTCTTTTCTTTTTTTTTTTAGAGATTTATTTATTTATTATGTATATAACATTCTGCCACCATGTATGCCTGCAGGCCAGGAGAGGGCACCAGATCTCATTATAGATGGCTGTGAGCCATCTTGTGGTTGCTAGGAATTGAACTCAAGACCTCTGGAAGAACAGCCAGTGTTCTTAACCTCTGAGCCATCTCTCCAGCCCTCAATGACCAATCCTAAGCCCTCCGATGTGCTTCATCCTTTCCCCCTCAAACCCTTCGTACACACGGTACCATTCTCTTCCCCTTTTCTTTTTTCCCTAGTTTCACTGGCAAGCCTTCATCAAGTCACTAAAGGTCCTTGGAGAACTTTCCCCGTGGCCTGACAACCCCTGATCCCTCATAGCATGGACCATGGCCATGCTGAAACAGCCATTTCCGTGGTTCCTTTCTTCCTGTCCACGGCTTTGACGAGACCACCAGCCCCCTGGAGCCAGGGAGGCAACAGGCTCCTTTAACATCACTGCCCTAGCATCCCGTGAAACACTGGCTCAGTTCAAGCAACTCTTCATTCCAAACGACTACACATGCTGACCCAAAACCTTGCCTGGGAAATGGTGGGACTGAGGCTCTACCTCAGATCTGACTGAGCCCATAATCCTCTGGTCCATGCTTGCCATCTCCCCTTCAGCTGAGAGAAGGTCATTTGCACAGGAGGTTCTGCTCTGGCAGGAAGAACTCCCAAAGCTTCGTTTCTGGGCAGGAAGTGGGGGGGAGAGGAGGAAAACATCCCACAAGGACTCCACACATCTCAGGCTAAGCAGCATCAGGCACCAGAGTAAGGGGACTGCTGAGCCCTCTGCTGCGCCGAGAACGTCAGGAGAGCTTATATGCCCCAGGTCACATGGTAAGGAACTGGCCAGCAGAGTTACAGTGCGGGCCTACCGGCTCCAGGCAAATGAGACACCCACCACCCCTCCCCCTGCGATGGGAAGCTGGCTGCCAGGCTAAGAAAAACCTCAGACTCTGCTGGAAATGACAAGCAACACAGGAGGTCGAGGCTGAAAGGTCCTCGGAGAGTTGCAGGTACCACGCTTCTCAGGGTGCATGCCAGGGCACCTGGGCTTATGTGTAACCGCAGCTTGGCGTCTGCCCACGTCAACCACAGTGAGCAAATGACTCCTCTTTCACCCCAGCACCTGAGGAAACACGTCTCTGGTGGGCACCAGCCATCTTTAGTACCTCTCATACCTGCCAAGGAAGCTCTTCCTCAAAGGTGGGGATTTAAGAGCGGTGCCTTTGACAGACAACCATCTATTGACTGTTCTCTTTTAATAGCTTTTTGTAGTTTGCTTTGTGTTTTGAGATAGGGTCTCATTCTGCAGCCAGGTTCGCCTAGAATTCACTATGTAGCTCAAGCTGACCAAACTATGCAAACCCTCCCACATTAGCCTCTAATCACTGGGATTAAAGGCAAGCATCTTCACACCTGGTCTTTCTTCTTTTAGTTTTTAACCCCTCCCGCCCCCCCCAAAAAAGCTTTATTGCATTATAGTTGAGAAATCATAATCATATGATGGCATTATGCCTTTAATCTCAGCACTTGGGAAGCAGACGAATGTGACTCTGTGAGTTTGGAGCTAGCCTGGTCTACACAGTGAGTGAGTTCCAGAGCTAACCAGGGCAACACAGTGTAACCTTGTCTCAAAACAAAACAAAAGAACAGCATATCAAAGCATAAATTAGATGAGTCTATAGTTAAAAAAAATAAAAATGATAGAAGTATGGGTTGGTAATATGGTTCACTGGGTAATAGCACTTACCTCTTAAGTCTCAAGACTCAAGTTCAATCCCAGGGACCCACATGATAAAAGGAAAAAAATGACTCCCACAAATTGTCCTCTGATCTCTACAAGTGCATCATGGCATGTGTGTAACCTTACACACACATACATGAGTTAATAAATATAATCTAAAAAAATTGTTAAAGCCAGGTGATGGTGGCACATGCCTGTAATCCCAGCACTTGAGAGGCAGAGTCAGGCAGATCTCTGTAAATCTGAGACCAGCTTGGTTTACAAATCGAGTTCCAGGACAGCCAAAGCTACACAAAGAAACCCTGTCTCAAAAAAAAAAAATTTTTTTTTTAATAAGCCAACCATGGTGGTGCATACCTTTAATCCCAGTTCTCAGGGATAAGGGATCTCTTGAGCTCAAGGACAGCCTGGTCTGGTCTACATAGCAAGTTCCAAGACAATCAGCACTACATAATAATGAGATTTTATCTCAAAAAAAAAAAAAAAAAGGCAGAGTCAGTCAGTCAGATCTGTGAGCTTGAGGCAAGGTTACACAGTAAGATTCTGTCTCAAAAAAAAATTAAATAGGGGCTGGAGAGATGGCTCAGCAGTTAAGAGTACTGGCTTCACTTCCAGAGGTCCTGAGTTCAATTCTCAGCACCCACATGATGGCTCACAACCATCAATAATGGGATCTGATGCCTCTTCGGTCATGCAGGCATCCAGGCAAACAGATACTCATATACATGAAATACACACATAAATATAGGATCTCTGAAAAGTGGACAAGGTGTAGGAACATTAACACAGCACAAGCACCACACAGCTCAGCAGGAAGCATTCCCCTTCAGCTGCAAGTTCATGGCCCAGCCCATCACTGACGCCACATTCCACACCACCTACCACCAAAGAGCGCCGGCCTACCTGGTGTCCTGCTCCATGGAGCTCCCCAGGGTGACAGCAGTTCAGAGAGTGCTTCTCGGGAGATATGATGGCTTCAAAACGGACACCTGGGACTTTCATAGCCAAGTCCTCCATAGCAGGTAAGTCACACCAGGCACTTCCTGTGACCCAGTGGCTGGCTCTCTACGTGGGGCCTGGCAAGGATTCGGGAACAAGAACCTGATAACTGGTGGGCCATTATGTAGATAGACCCCAGCCCTGATTTGTCCAAGCCAGACAAAGCTGTCTACCCATTTTTCTGTTCATGTATTCAACAACAGTATCAACAACTAAGTTTCCCAACATATTGCCAAGCATTTACATGTGATTTCTAATCCTTACTATATATTGTTGGTCAATGTTCCAAGGACCCTGAATTACACTTTCCTTGTGCTGCTCATAAAAATGCAAGTTTCTGCCGGGTGGTGGTGGCCCACATCTTTAAACCTAGCACTTGGGAAGCAGAGGCAGGCAGATCTCTGTGAGTTCGAGACCAGCCTGGTCTACAAAGTGAGTTCCAGGACAGCCAGGGATGTTACACAGAGAAACCTTGTCTCAAAAAACAAAACAAAACAAAAAAAGCAAGTTTCCATGAGGAAAAAAAAAAATTTGACAAAGCCAGGAGGTGGTGGCATACACCTTTAATCCCAGCACTCGGGAGACAGAGGCAGAGGCAGATGGATCTCTGTGAGTTTGAGGCCAGCCTGGTCTACAAAGTGAGTTGCAATACAGCCAGGGCTACACAGAGAAACTCTGTCTGAAAAAACAAACACAAACAAATCAATAATAAAGGCAAGTTTGGGGGCTGGAGAGATGGCTCAGGGGTTAAGAGCACTGACTGCTCTTCCAAAGGTCCTAAGTTCAATTCCCAGCACCCAAATGGTGGCTCACAGCCATCTATAATGATGCCCTCTTCTGGCCTGCAGGGACACATGCAGGCAGAACACTGTATACCTATAAACGAATAAGAATAAAAATAAATAAATAAATAAATAAAGGCAAGTTTCCAGTCATAGGTGGTGATGTGCACCCTTGATCCCAGCTACTCAGAACAGTGAGGCAGGAGGATCTGTGAGTATGCAACTTTGGGATCAGTGTAGGCAACATACAGTCTCCATCTCTTGACAAAAAAAAAAAAAAAAAACAACAACAGCAAAAAACAACAGCAAAGAGCTGCCAACAAGCATGAGGACCTGTATCTGAATGCCCAGAACCCAAGCACGATGTTATGTGTTAGGGAGGTGGGGACGTGGGGGGGGGGTCCCTGGTGCTCACTGGCCAGCCAGTCTAGCTGAATCATCCAGCTCCAGTCTCAGTGAGACCTTGTCTCCAAAAATAAGGTAGATAGTGACTGAAAGAGAAACCCAGCATTGCCTGCCAAGCGGTGGTGGCACACGCCATTAATCTCAGCACTCAGGAGGCAGAGGCAGGTAGACCTCCAAGTTCAAGGCCATCCTGGTCTATAGATCGAGTTCCAGGACATCTAGGGCTATACAGAGAAACCCTGTATTGAAAAACCAAAAAGAAAGAAAGAAAGAACACATCCTCTTTCCTCCACATGTACCCACACCATATGTACACATACACAAACATGTAGACACACACACACACCAAATAAAGAAGCCAGCAACAAAACCCCCATAATTCTGTTTTCTCTGCTGGAGTACACCATAAAAGAGCCCCCTAGCTCGTCCCAAAGTGTCTAGCTTTCTAAACCTACAGCTCCCCTCTTACTCAGCTAAAGTTAACACCAGTTCCCGAGGAGGCACTCAAGGCTCAGGGAGGTTCCCTGACACACAGTGGCACCTGGTCCAGCTGGAGGCTCTTGGTCTGTCCTACAGCTCAGGGTGGACATGAGGGTGCTGGATCACACTGCCAAGCCACCCAGGTCCCTTGGCAAATGCAGTTATGCAAAGCGCTGGCCAGGTATTTTAGACTTGAGGACAAATCTTAGACAAATGTGAACAGTCACCTAAGGTCACAAAGCTCATATGTGACTGAGCTTAGCCCAAAAGGAACCACTGGTGTCCCCCATCCCACTCCCCACCCCCCCCACCCCAACCCCAGTTCTGAAGATCAAACCCAACTCCTAGAAGGTGTTAGACAACCGCTCTACCGCTGAGCTACACCTCCATCCTTGCTAGGGGTCATGAGCCAAGTCCAGTCTCCTCCTTGTTCTGGAGGCTACAATGTCCACACCCTGGAAGGGACTCTGGGTCAGGAGACTGGGTCCTCTCACTTATCCACAGCCTGGAAGGATATTGGTAGAGGTGGTATCCAGCATCTCCCAAAGCTCAAGTACCTCAGGGCACCACGGGGTCACCTCATACCGGACCTACATGGTGACACAGAGCTCTGGGGAGCAAACCTTTGTTGTTAATCTCAACCGAGCTGAGGAATTTCGGGTCCTCCCCCTGGGGCTCCAGGTCGTTCCCTTGGAGAGTGGAACCCCCACAGGAGGATCCACGGAGCTTGGGTTCCTCCCTGGGCGACCATCCCTCTGCCCTCCTTAGTCCCGGTTCTAATATGGTGGATGGATGGACTTGCCCCACCAACCTGGTCTGCTCTTTCCTGGTCCAGCCACCAAGAGGAGCATCGTCTTGGATGGAGAACGTGGCTCCTTTTCCAGGGGGCGAGACAAGGACTGTTCATGTGCTCCTGTGACTCCAGTTTCCTCCACGACCCCAACCAACCGGCAGAAATCTTCCCTAAAATACACCTTAGATGGTAAGGATGTAACTACAAAAAGCCTTCGCGCATCTGCACACCCCGACCGGAGAATGGACCCTTGGTCCGCACTTCCTGCAGCCGGTCCTCCAGTTCCTCGGGGTCCCTCAGCCTCCCACCCCTGGTCTCCCCTTCTGGCCCAGACAGTTCCGCTAGCCGCGGGGTTCTGACCTAGGCTCAGGTTTCCACTCACCGCGCGATGGAGGTGCTCCTGCCAGGGTCACAGTCTCTATTTTAACAATGAATCAAAACGCTGCCCGGGAGGTGCGCGTAAGACCACGCCCCTGCCGCGCTCCAATAGGCTCGCCCTCAGAGCCTCATTTGCATAATCAGCTTGCGATTGGACCCAGCGAGGACTAGGGGCGGGGCAGAGGCGGGCGGTGCCCAGGCGCCTTGGAGCGCGGGATGCACAGCACGTTCCGCCTGGGCTACCCGCAGCCTGGTCCAGCCCTGTCCCCATGGGGCCTGAGTGCTGAAGCTGGCCCAGTGGCCTCTGGTCTCTTTCCCGTTGGTTCGTTCTGGCTAAGGTCTTCAAAAGACACTAATGCATACGTGGGAAGTACAAAGTGTGTCTAGCCCGGTGTGGTGGCACATACTTGTCATCTAGCGCTTGAAAATCTGAAGCAGGAGAATGGATTGCTCACAATTCGATCGGCCTGGCTGCAAGAGTGAGACACTCCCAGAAAGCAAAACCAAAAGGCTGGTGACGTACATCTGTAAGTGCAGCAATTGGGAGGGAGGTGGGGACAGTAGAAGCAGTGATCTGGAAGTGAAGGCAAGAAGATTAGGAGGTTGACCGGGTGGTGGTGGCGCACCCCTTTAATCCCAGCACTCAAAGGACAGAGGCAGGCATATCTCTGTGAGTTCCAGGCCAGCTGGTCTACAGAGTAAGTTCAAGGACAGGCAGGGCTACACAGAGAAACCCTGTCTAAAAAACAAAAAAAAAAAAAAAAAAAAAGAAAAGAAAAAAGAAAAGAAAAGATAAGGAGGTTAAGGCCAGATTTGGCTACAGAATCAGTTCCAGGCCTACGAGACATGAGACCCTGTCAAACAAAAGCAAAAAACAGAAACCAACCAACCAAATAAATTGTTCAGGCAGAACAGTTCCAGACAACTAGTAAATATGAATGGAACACAGTACCAACATCACATCACTCCGGATACTGCAGTCAGTATCCAGGCTGCTCAGGGACCACAGAGCATCCAAGCTCAGGGATCTCCACCTCCATTTGAACACAAACCTGGGCTCACCCACAAAATGTACAGCACCACCCCAACTCTTCAAGTTAAGCTCTATTGTGCACCGGTTCCACACCAGCTCCTAAGCCAGGCCTTTACACACATCAACAAAGATCAGAGATGTCAACTGACTTGCCAGGGTCGCAGAGTTAATAAAGGGCAGAATCAGGACCAATGTCTTGGGATGTCTGACTCCACAGGCCACAGGAAAGCGTCCCCATTTGCTAATTCTCTCTTTGACCTGTATCCGGTGAAGAGCTCAGAAAAGAAAGCATGGATAAAATATGGCCTCTTCCCATGTGAGGGCAGAAACGAGGCCCCGAACAAGCCATCCTGGCCCAGCATTCATCTGGCTGACAAGCTGGCTTCCTCCATGGCCCGGCTAGCTGTAAGTAAGACAGGGGCTAGGGAGTCCTGGGTTCAGGGTCAGCCTCTAGAACTTCTTGGCTGGGTCATCTTGAGACAGTTTCTTGACCTCTCTGAGCCTGGGGTAGAATGGATATTTCATCTGAGTTGGAACTGAGCATGACCCCAGCCTTCTGCCCCTACCAGGCAATTCAACCTAGAGTCGACTGAGGGTGGCCCGCCTGACAACCCAGTTTGTGAATTATTTATGAAGCCCTTTGTCAGTCATGTGTGCTGAGAGTTCATCACAGAACAAGAGACCCGCGTGCTGCTTTTGTGTGTTTGTATGGTGGAGGAAAACAGATCCAGGTGAGAGAGAAATAAGTAAGCATGGCTGAGTTGGCAGGTGCTTAGGAGAAAAGGGAGCAGAGCAGAGTGGCATGTGGGGGCTGGGCAGTGTGTTTCCAAGCAGGTCATCAGGGAGGTCTTAGAGACGTGGCTCCTGCATCTAAGCAAAGACCCAGGAGTGAGCCTGTGGGTCTGGATGGGTCACAGGCTGAAGGATGGCCGGACCTAGGGTAGAAAGCAGGAGAGGGGGGACCAGCTGGGCACCGTGAGTGAGTACTCACCTTAGCTTTGGAATGTTTGCCCAAGAGGATGACAGAAGGCCGGGAGCAAAGGGAACTATGGGAAGAGGCTCCTCTTGTAGGGGTGGGTGAGGAGGATGGCGGAGCCCAGAGAGCTCTTAGCAGTCCAGGAGATGAAGCCACCCCCTCACCCCCACATGGCCATGTTTGTGCTCTCCCAGGCTGCCTGGGACCCAGGAACCACACAGCCCTCCTGGTCCTCATCTTAAGAGAGTTTCAGGACAGTCAGGGCTGCAGAGAAACCCTGTCTTGAGAAAACATAAAATAATGATAATAATAATAATAATAGTAATAATAATTTAAAAGATGGCAAGCATTTGTTTCAGAGGATAGTCTTGTGCAACCATTGGTTCTTTCCTTCCACTGGTATGTTGGTTCTGGGGATCAAACTCAGGTTTTCAGGCTGAAGTCTGATGTGGTGGTTAGTTTTCATTATCATTTTTCACACTCTGCAATCATGTGTAAAGTCTCAGTGAAGAGCTGCCTAGGTCGGGAGGGCCTGTGAACATGTCTGTGGGGGGCCTGTGGACATGTTTGTGGGGGGTCGTCTTGATCACTGTTGCGGTGGAAAGACTCCCGCACTGTGGGCAGCACCATTCCCTAGACAGTGGATCCTGAACTGCAGAAATGCAGGGAGGGAGCCGAGCACAAATAGCATCAATGTATTTATTCTCTCTGCTCTTGTCTGGGTGTGATGTGATTGGCTGCTTCCAGTCCCTGCCTTGACTTCCCTGCAATGGACTGTAATCTGGAATTGTGCGCTAAAATAAACCCTTTCTCCTGTAAGTTGCTTTTTGTCAGGCTTTTTGTTTGTTTAATTTTTTTAAGCCTCTGTAAAGATTTATTTATTTATTATGTATACAGAAGAGGGCACCAGATCTCATTACATATGGTTGTGAGCCACCATGTGGTTGCTGGGAATTGAACTCAGGACCTCTGGAAGAGCAGTCGGTGCTCTTAACCTCTGAGCCATCTCTCCAGCCCATCTTTTTTTTTTTTTTAAATGATTTATTCTTATTATGTGCACTGGTGTTTATCTGCATATATGTCTGTGTGAAGGTGTCAGATCTCCTGGAACTGGAGTTACAGGTAGTTATGAGCTGCCAAGTGGGTGCTGGGAATTGAACCCAGGTCCTCTGAAGAGCAGCCAGTGCTCTTAACTGCTAAGTCATCTCTGCAGCCCCTGGTCAGGATGTTTTATCACAGCAACAAATGAAACTAAGACAAACATCTACCTATGTTGTCACTTCACTGGCCTCTGCTCCACACCTGACTGAGACCCCCTTAGAGATCTGGAGAGTGCCACGACTCCTGCTCTAGCCCAGAACCTGTTTCTTCACTTGGCAAGGGCAAGGAGCACCCAGTCCTTTCTCCCGTGGGCAATGGAGGGTGAGCAAGGTAGAGGAGGGCTATCAGGCAGAGCAGAGCAGGATGGATGACCTTTACTGGGGTCATCAAAGCTGGCTGCAGCCAGGGCTGACCTGGGATGACGGCACATAGCCAGGCTTGTTTTCACCTGTTTACTTGCCTAGGAAAACACAGAGTTAAAATTAGTAAGCATTGGTTTCAGCTCACAGTTCAAGGGGATACATTCCAAAGCATGGTGGCAAAATCAGACTGTGGTGGTGGAAGGTTGCTTACATCTGGGGAAACGCAGGTGTTGTGTAGCATGAGTTCTAATTGGTCTTAAGAATAAAAACCTGGAGTCAGATATCGGGGTAAATGCTGAAAGATCAGATAGACCAAAGAGCAAGACACAGCCACTTCTTTCCTGGCCAACTCCTCAGTCTGAAGTGGAGGGAGAGCTCCTGTCTCTGCCTGCCTTATATTCCTCTCTCCGCCCAGCCATGTCACTTCCTGTTCCTCCTCCCTAGTGCTGGGATTAAAGGTGTGTGCCACGATGGTCTGGCCTCTGTGGTTAACTAGTGGCTAGCTCCACACTCTGATCTCCAGACAAGCTTTATTTGTTCAAGCACAAACGAAGTATCACCACAGTGTTGCTATGGAGTCAAGGTGGCTTTCAACACTGTGACTAAAGCCACTCTAAGCTCGAGGCCTCTTCTGTGCCGTCTCTGAAATGGTGAATCACAGCAGATCTTCACTGACTTGTGATGGCTCAAATCCCACTCCTCCCAGGAAGGCCTCTGCCACCCCAACCTGGAGCAAGAGCTCTCAGCTGAGATCCTGGAGGTGAGGCCCCAAACCCTGGCCTTTGTCTCTTCGGGTACGGCCAGCCAGCTTGGTGGGCTTGGTCCCTGCCGTTGATGTTAGAGTTACCATCTCTCCTCGGTTCCCTCCTGGGAGTCCCCACCACGTGCTCATGGCACTTGAGCTGCCTTGCTCACCATTATCTGCAGTGGCCTGAAAATGCTTGGAGAGGGAAGGCCTGGAGGAAGCCTCCGGCCTCTCCCTGGTTTGTCCAGATCTGCCTGCACACACCCTCACTGCCACCAGGGGGCCTCTCTAAAACAAAGCCCTGACCCTGACTCCATTGGGCCTGGGCGAGACTTCCTTCCTCTCCCGACCAACCAACCATCCATTGCTCTCCAGAGACCTTGAATCACACACCACCTTCTCCTGTCACCCAACTCAGGAAGAGCCTCTGTAGTCACATCAAGGGGCGTTTCTGATCAGAAGCCTTGTCAAATGCCCTTGTCCTGTTCTGGAGTGCCTGGGCCGGCTGCCTTCCCTGGACAGGGCCAGCTGGGAGCCATTAGCTCTGGGCCACTGAGGGCCTCTCTACAGCTCTTCCTGGGGAAGAGCCTGCTAGCTGCATCCCAATCCTCCTTCCCTCTGTTCGCAGATCAACCCCTAGTTGTCTGGGCGAATGCCTTCCCAGAACAGCCAGGGTTGAAGCTTCATCTCAGCAGGGAGTATACCCTTTGCCTTCTATGGCTAACAGAACACAGCCAGTGTGTAGATTTTTTAAAGGGTGATTATGTCCTTCGCCATCCCTTCCTCTTCTCTGAGAGCTGAAAGGCAGGTTTGATGGCTATAGCTCAGTAGGCTGTGAGGCAAAGTTGTCCAAAAAAAAAAAAAAAAAAGGCATAAAAGAAGATCTGAAAGCCTGCTGCCACCGCAGCGTCTAGCCTTCCCAGCTCCAGGCTGGTAACCTTGTCAGCCTGAGAGCCCTAACTACACCACCTAGTTGTGAACTTTTGAGGAACGCAGCTGGTGCGGAGGAGAACGTGGGGTCTCCTGCGTAGGGCTCTTGAGCTGCTGGGACTGCACACGTGCACACATGTCCTAGTGACTTTATCTCTCCTTTTGTTTTTTGTGTCTCGTTTTTGCGTGTCTGTTCGTTTTGAGGCTGGCTCTCTGTAGCCCTGTCTGGACGAGAGCTTACAGCAAAGCAATCCATATTAAAGGAGTATGTCACCATGCTCAATTCACCTCACTGCTGTTGATGAAGTCCCTACAGACCAAACCCTGCCCAGGATGGAGACACGGGGAAGGAGTCCAAGCTAAGAGAGAAGAGAGACAGAAAGGAGAGAGAATATGTAGGGGAACACCTGTATAAATGGGTATATCCTGGGAGGAGACACACGTTTTCCAGGGGTTTGTGTGTGTATAGGAGGTATATCCTGGGAGGAGACACACGTTTTCCAGATGTGTGTGTGTGTATGTGTAGGGGGTGTCCTGTGTATTCGGGTGTATCCTGAGAGGAGACACAAGTTTTCCAGGAGGTTTTGACTCTACCCCCCTGATCTGATGACTGGCCAAACTTCGGACTCAATTTCCTTGGTCAGCTAGAAAAACCAATGGCACATAGGAAAAGAAATGTAAGGCATTTCACTTCTTGTGAATTGCCAATGTACACTGGAAATGACTTCACATCACCAGAGAAAGGGGTTGGAGGCAGACGAGATGGGGACATGCTGTGAGCCATGAGGTGTGACCCTGGAGTACAGAACATCCTATACTATTCACACTCCAGCCTCAGGGGGGGGCCTGAAGGAGGTTCACACGGTAGGGTATCACTGCTTGAGGCTCATGTGGGGACCAAATCCCCACGTCTCCTGGCTTGCTGTCCTGCTCAGTGGTCTAGAGGGTGAGGCCCAGGCCTACCTGAGACAGCTAAACAGGCAGAGGTACCACTCCCAAAGCAGAGAGGGCACGGAAGGAGGGAAGGGGCCGAGGCCAGGCAAGCCAGCCCCAGGGAAGGTCCTGAGCTAAGCTTCCCACCCCTGAATGGGACCTTCTGACTCCAGCCCTGTCTTCAGATACTACCTGACAGCCGGTCCAAGATGGCATAAACTCCCTACGGAGCTGAAGATGACCATGAATTGAGTCTCCTGCCTCAGTCTCCTTGATGCTTCATTAATTACCATATACCACCACAGCTGGCCACAGCTCTGGATTCCATAGGGACATGCTGGTCTCCAGCTATAACTGGGGACCCAGATATGACATGACCTTACAATATCCTCAAAAAAACTTAGAGGTGGAAGACGGACCCCTGACCATTCCCACCACCCCAGAAGTCAACTTTGGAGCATGGCATCAAAGCCAGGACAAATCACAAGCATACACGGGAGGAGTTTCAAAGACTGTTGAGTCCCAGGTGGATGTACATGTGTGAAGAAACCCCGACACCACTCTGCAGGCTCCTGGGGCCAGGGTTCTAGGAAGCCCATTCCTTCCTGGCTCAAAGCCCAGGGTGGTCCCAAACAAGATGGCCCCAGGCTGGAGAAGTCCTGTTTCCAGGCTTAGGCTGCAGTTACCCCTCGGCATAGCTGGGTGACAGCCAGGACTTTGGCTGGGGAGCCACAGGCTTCTTCTCAAGGGCTCACTCCCCGCTGTGCCTGGCTTTTCCAGTCATCCGGCGGCGGCGCTGAGTCTTGCTGGTACGTGTGGCACTGGGTGGTTTCTTGGTGGAGTCCTGGGCCCGCCGAGGGTGTTTCCTCTTCACCTTCTTCCGACTGTGTGCATGCAGTGTGGCTGTGAGGGAGGAGATGCTACGGGGAAAATGGAGGCGGGTGAGGCCAGGGCTTGGCTTCCCCTTGAGACTCAGGCAAGGGTGAGAGGCTGGGGAGTGATCACTCGACTCACGGGTGAGAAGCTGGGACAAGCTCCAAACACACTGCAAACTCTGCCTGGTCTGGCTCCACAGAGCCTGACGTTCCCCACCCCCACCCCCCAAACCTCCAGGCTAGGGCAGCTCCACATGCCTCGCCACTACTGCCAGACAGGAATGGGACCCAGCAACTACAAGCCAGAGCTCACCGCTGAGATAGCAGGGGATCTTTGGACTTTCTGGGCAAGGCTTTTGTTGGCTTCTCCATGGATGACACCTCCTCCTGGGACCCATCCAGGTCCCCTTGCTAGAGAAACAAAGGACAGGGACTGTTAAAGGGTGTGGATAGTCACGATGAGCAGTCCTACCTTTAGCACAGAAGTCTGACCTGGAAGGCTTGAGGAGGGCTCAGAGAAGGCTCTGTGAAGAATACACTGTGTATGTCTGTCCTGTTCAGCCTTAATTGTCAACTGAACATACCCTAGAGTCATCTGAGACATGCCCCAATTGAGAAACTGCCTAGATCAAGTTGGTCTATGGGCAAGACCAAGCCCACCCTGGGTGGCATCATTCCTTAGGCATGGAGTCCTGGGCTGTATAAAAAAGCTAGTTAAGGGGCTGGAGAGATGGCTCAGGGGTTAAGAGCACTGGCTGCTCTTCCAAAGGTCCTGAGTTCAATTCCCAGCAACCACATGATGGCTCATAACCATCTATAGTGAGATCTGGCACCCTCTTCTGGCCTGCAGGGATATGTGCAGGCAGAACGCTGTATACATAATAAATAAACCTTTAAAAAAAAAAGCTAGTTAAGCATGAAGTAGTGAGCGAGTCATTCACCAAGAGCGACATCAGCAAAATGGCAAGACACAGTGTCAGGCCTTAAGGAAGGACGAGCTTAAAGCAGCTAAGTGGGGTCAGTCTGGCCGTGGCTCTCCAGGACGTAGACACTGCAGCACGGAGCAGGAACCCAGGAACCAGGAACCCCGTTGAGACAGGAGCCCAGGCTGGCCTTGAACTAATGACCCTCCTGCCTTCACCCCGTCGTGTGTGCCCGTGCCTGGAAACGTGTGGGACTTTGTTCTGCTGTTTGTGATGTTGGGGACTGGCCCTAGGGTCTCACATTCTGGGCAGGCTGTATCCTCAGCCCAGAAATGCACTTTATACTCTAACTCTCTGGGCAGCTGGAGTTGACCAGCTGCAGAATGAAAAGAAAACATCTGGAAGGAAACACGGTGTCTGTGCTGAGCATAGATTAGTCTTTTTTTTTGTTTTTTTAATTGTTTTAGATTTTTACATCTATTTGATGTGTATGAACACACTGCTTGCATGTATATCTATACACCACGTGCATGCCTGGTGCTTGCAGAGGTCAGAAGTGTCAGATTCTCTGGAACTGGAATTATAGACAGTTGTGAGCCACCATGTGGGTGCTGGGAACTGAACCTGGGTCTTCTCTAAGAGCAGAAAGTGTTCTTAACTGCTGAGCCAGCTTTCCAGGACCCAGACTCACGTTATTCTTTGAACACTGCCCTGTAACAACAACTCAGACAGGACTTACAGGGAATTCAGATTTTGTTTTTGTATTATTTAGTGTGCGTGTGTTGGTGTGTGTGTGTGTGTGTGTGTGTGTGTGTGTGTGTGTGTGTGATGTGTACAGGAGGTCAGAGGATAAACTGTAGGAGCCAGCCCTCTCCTTCCATCATGTGGAGTTCCGAGCTCCTGGGACTGACCTCAGGCCGTGGAACTCAGGAGGTGGAAGCACCTTCACCCCCAAGCTCTCTCGCTGGCCTGGCATTCAGTTTTCTAAGTAACTAGGAAATGATTGAAAGGACAGGGGAGAACCTGCGTAGGTTCCATGTAAATATCACAGCGTTTCATTCAAAAGACTTGCACACTGCAGACCTGAAGGGAGCCTGCTATAGACATCCCTACACAAGCCACAGGCTCAGCTTCACGTGGAGCAGGGGCTTTGGTCCCTTACCAGGATGCTGTTGTTTTCAATTAGTGAACAAGTGACTGAGGATGCACAACCCACACTGCAAACTCACTGTCCCTGCACACACACGCCACAGTATGCTGCTTGTCACACAGGCTGGGGTCCATCGAAGTGGTCTGCTGAGCAATTACTACAGCTGGGCTCAGTACCAAGGGCCTCACCCCTGCATCCTCACGGTTACTGGCCCCCGTATCCAGGCAACACTCAACTGACTGATGGGCTGAGCCATACAAGAGAGCTGCCAGGGACACACTTCCAGGAGGAGACCCTCGACATAGGCAGGCACTGAGCAGCCCCCACAGACCAATCTACCGCTTCCTCCTCAGGGCTGTCCTGGGACCTACCTCAGGCGGGGGCAGACCTAGCAGCCGGGCCCCTGACAGGTCCAGGTCACTGATGGTGGTCACGGTAACTGTGTGATTGGGGTGGTCATACTGCACCGACTCGGTCTTTGCTGTCACCAGCCGCTCCAGCTCATCCGCCTCCTCTGCAAGGTGAGCACAGACTAGTTTTCAGCCCTGGCTCAGGCACCAGGCCGCAGCCTCCCTCCCAGCCCTCCAGGGACGGGGACTGGCACGCCGTGTGCTTTCTAGAGCCAGCCATTCTTTCCTTGCATCTCCCCTACCTCCCCATTGTTTCTGCATCTCCCCCTACCTCCCCATTGTTTCTGCATCTACACCCCTACCTCCCCATTGTTTCTGCATCTACACCCCCTACCACCCCATTGCTTCTGCATCTACACCCCTACCTCCCCATTGCTTCTGCATCTCCCCCTACCTCCCCATTGCTTCTGCATCCCCCCCTACCTCCCCATTGCTTCTGCATCCCCCCCTACCTCCCCATTGCTTCTGCATCCCCCCCTACCTCCCCATTGCTTCTGCATCCCCCCCTACCTCCCCATTGCTTCTACATCTACACCCCTACCTCCCCATTGTTTCTACATCTACACCCCTACCTCCCCATTGTTTCTGCATCTACACCCCTACCTCCCCATTGTTTCTGCATCCACAGAGTGGTCCAGAGTCCCACCCACAGGTAAGTGCTGGAAATGACTTATCCTCTTATCCCTTATGCTCGCAGCGTGTCCCTGCTTTGGAGAAACTGATTGACAGCAAGAGCTGTCCCATCCCCAGGCTCTCTGCTCAGCCTCAATGTACCGCATGGTTTGGGTCCACTTGCACTTAGACCATGCGTGGCCCCTACATCACCACCAAGATCTCTGCGGCTAACAAAAATCACCCTCCATCCGGCTTTCTCCCCATTCTACCTTATCACCACCAGGGGACACAGAAGCCCAGGCTCACTAGACGCTCTCCACACAAGACCTCGGTGGGGACTCACCTAGTGCCTCCTCTCTTTCTGCCAGCATCTTCAGGTATTCCTGGTGGCGCTGAAGTCAAACGGAAGGATGTGATGGTGTTAATGTTAACCTGACAGAATCTGGGATGCCTGGGAGATGGGCCTCTGGGCATACCTATGGGATGTTATCTTGAGGTGGGAAGACCCGCCCACTATGGGCGGTGCCATTCCCTGGCTGGGATCCTGGGCTATATTAGGTAGAGAAAGAGAGCTGAACAGCAGCCTGTCTTCATCACTCTGCTTCCTGATCTTGGATGTGATGGGACCAGCGGATTCAAGCTCCTGCCGCCTTGATCCGCCTGCCACAATGGACTGTGCCCTTGAGCTGAAAGCCAGAATAAACCCTTTCTCCCCTAAGCTGCTCTGTCAGGAACTTTTTTTTAAATCACGGTCACAGAAAAAGATACCAAACAGGAAGGCACACAGTGAGAATGGCCATTCAGTCCATCCCAGGCAACAGCCCCGTTCACTTCCATGGTGTGGGACCATGGTTCCTAGAGCAAACGCAAGAGGAGACTCATCCTTCACACACCCCCAGTGTCTACCTGTGCAAACAGCTCCAGCCATGCTCACACACCCTCCGCTCTGCCCCTCCCCTGGGAGTTGGCCCCGCACCCTCCTCCGCACCTCACCTCTTCCCGGAGCTTCTTCTGCTCCTGCTTCAGTCGGTGCTTTATCTCCTCGATGGCCGCCTTCTTCCGCTCCACCTTCCGTTTGTGGAAGCCTGTCAGGTACTCCCTGCAGGAAGGAAGCAGGGGAGAGTCAGGAGGAGCCATGAGGAGAGAAGGGCCAGGGTCTATCTCACCCACTAACCCATTCTAACTCTCCACGGCCTGTCCTTATTTGACAGATAAAGACACTGCGGGAGACTAGGGTGCTCATCCAAGCTCACAGAGAACATGGTTAGGAGGCATTCAATGACAAGAGTACCTTACAAGAAACACGTTGCTAGTCCTGGCTAGAGCATCACAGTGTATTTACATATAATCCTAGGTGGTATAACCTATCACACACCTACGCCGTAAGGGACAGTCTCACACGCTCCATCACTGACCACAACATCGTCATACAATGTGCGACAGAAGGCTGCTTTTTCCCAGGCTTCCTTCTCCAGGGCACCTACTTCACCTGTTTCTTCCCCCTTGGTGGGTACACATGAGGTGGTAGAGACGGAGCAAGTGGGGGCTGCTTCCATACTGGGAGGTGTCACCTCTAGTAGGGCTTTCCAAGAACGCCTGCACCCAGATCCCAAAACTCTTTTATTGAACCAACCAATACCCAGTCCTCAATGACATCTGACCCCTAAGCCCACCGGTGGGGTGGGACCTAGGGGTGCCGCCCACCTTCCTGACTCTTGCTTCCTCCTCCTATCTGATCCCTGCTCTGTTCCCGATTTTGCTGTTGTACTGGAGGGTTAAACCTAAACTAATTAGTTTACATTGCTTTGGGCACAGGGACTCTACAAATCGCCCAGACTTGGTCTTGAACTCTCTCTGTAGCCCTTGACTTTGCAATTCCCCTGCCTCAGCATCCCGAGTGGCTAAGACTACAGGTCTACACCACCAGGCCTGGCCATTGCAGGTCCCTTTGGTGCGCTGCATTAGAGCTTTCGCAGACTCACTACAGCGTCATTTATCCACGGTGACACCGAAGCGCCGGGTCCCAAGCTTGGCTGGGACACAGTATGATGAGTTAATGAATGAACATAAACCGCTCTCATCCCACTCGCTCGTTGTTCGTCGGGAGCCGGCGGTGTGCAGGGACCACGGACCAGGCTGCACAGCCCTGCGCACCCCAGAACCTGCGCGCGGAGAGCGGGCGACTCCATCCCACCAGGCGGGGAAAGCGGAGGTCTTCGGGCACGTCCAGGGGCGGGGCCGGAAGGACTCTTGCGTGAACGTGCGTGCCCTGGACCTGGCCAGGCCTCTCCCGGCAGCCCGACGGGAATCCGGTTCGACCCTGCCACTCACCGCCGCTTCTCTTCATCGAAGTTGAGGACGAGCCGGGGCCGCCGGTCATCGCCATCTCGCTTCTTCTTCTTCTTGTTGCGCCCCATACCAGGGAAGCTAGCTTCCGGTAGCGTGGCTGCCGCTAGCCTAAAACACTTCCGAGTGTAACAGTTCAGGTTTCCGGAAGAGCGCTCGTAGTGGCCTCGTTCCATAGTTCCGCCAACTTGTCTCCGCCTTTTAAAGGAGCCTCCCATCCTGTCTCGCACAGCTTTGCTTCAGGTCTTCTGACCGATTTTCCCAGAATGGCTTCAGTGAGAACTAGGCTCCCCGATTCCATCACCTAGCCTGGCCCTAACAGGTGCACAATATGGAGTTATTCATGAATGACTAAAAACTACTGATCCTAGACGGGAGGTAGTGGCGCATGCCTTTAATCCCAGCAGAGGTCCGCAGATCTCTGTGAGTTCGAGGTCAGCCAGATCTACAGAGAAACCCTGTCTCGAAAAAAAACAAAACCAAACAAATGAAACAAAACTGATCCTAATTGAATTCTGATATCAACTCTTCGGTGATTTCCATGAGCGAGGGAAACTACTTGGATTCAAATACTGGTACTCATCTACCAGCTGCGTGGCCGTGGAGCGACTGACTGCCTTTTTTGCTTTTTTAAGATTAAAACAACGAGGTGGTGGTGGCGCACATCTTCAACCCCAGCAATTGGCAGGCAGGGGCAGGCAGATGTCTATGAGTTCGAGGCCAGCCTGGTCTACATTATAAGTTCCAGGTCAGCCCGAGCAGAACTGCATAAAAGAAAGTCCCTGTCACAAAAAAAAAAAAAAAAAAAAAAAACTAAACAAACAAACAAATAAGATTTAAAAAGAAGAAGGAGGAGGAGGAGGAGGAGGAGGAGGAGGAGGAGGAGAAGAAGAAGAAGAAGAAGAAGAAGAAGAAGAAGAAGAAGAAGAAGAAGAAGAAAAAAAGAAGAAGAAAAACAACTGCCTGAGTGAATTTATATGTACCACATGAGTGGTGTGCTTGCAAGTCCAGAAGAGGGTATCAGATCCCCTGCACATAGAGTTACAGATGGTTGTGAGTTACCATGTGAGTGCTGGGAATCAAACCCAGGTCCTCTGCAAGAGAAGTAAGAGCTTAAGGTATTGAGCGAGCCATCTCACTGTCCCTACCCCCTGCCTTTTTCTTTGTGCCTCACTTACCTGTCTATAAAGTACAGATGATTGTAGGGACTTGGCAGGGTTATTGCAAAGCAGTGGTCCTAGAACTTTGGCATGCACTAGATGTCCTAGCAGGCTTGCTGAAATCCAGATCCAGGGGTTGTGGTTCAGCACATTTGGACAGAATATCCATTTCCAGCACATTCTCGGATGGCCCCGAATACTGGTCCTGCAGGCAATACACTTTGACTGTGGTGGGACAAGTGAGTGGTGTCAGGAGTGTATAACACAGTGCTTGGCCACACTCAGGTTTGGTGCACAAGCCACATCCAGCTACGTGCCTCAGTTTCCCCAAGTATGGAAAGAGAGTTTAACAACACCCCTTCTGCTAACCACCACAAGGGTTTGAATTTGAAGCATTGGGTAAGTAACACCGGACAGGGGTTTTAGTGACTCCGTTATATAATAGACTTCCCCCATTCTCAAGGCTATGTGCGTTTGGTTCTGTCAAGTCTCGTGCTGGGTGCGGAAGACATGGCTGATGTTCTTGGCTGTAAGGACTGACCCTGTGACCCTGATCAAGATAGTGCAGGGGGGGCTGGAGAGATGGCTCAGAGGTTAAGAACACTGGTTGGTCTTCCAGAGGTCCTGAGTTCAATTCCCAGCAACCACATGGTGGCTCACAGCCATCTGTAATGAGATCTGGCGCCCTCTTCTGACCTGCAGGAATACATGTAGGCAGAACACTGTATACATAATAAAATAAATCTTTAAAAAAAAAAAAAAAAAAAAAAGATAGTGCAGGGGATGAAGCTTCTGCCGCAAGAAGACGCTCAGCACGTTGCAGGAGGTCAGGATTGTCTCCAGCAATGTGGAGGGCAGGGAGGGGCCCAGAACAGGTGATGAAACACAGGGTAACAGACAAAAACCAGGCTCTTGGGATCCAGTCCTCCTTCAGACAGAAGCCAGAGAGCCAGTAGTGAATGCCTACCGTGGGCCAGGCACACAGAGAGGCAAGCTGTCATTTAAGAAAGGACATGGTATGGTATGCTGGGTATGGTAACACACACCTTTAATTCCAGTACTCAGGAGGCAGAGGCAAGCGGATTTCTGTGAGGTCAGCCTGGTCTTCTGGGTGAGTTCTAGAACAGCCAGCTACACAGAGAAACCCTGTCTCAAAAAAACAACAACAACAACAAAAAAAAAAAAACCAAAAAACAAAACAAACAAACAAACAAAACACCAAGAGGGAGGAAGAGGACTGAGCTCAAACATGAGCCTGATTGCCTGTCTTTGGTGTCCCTTACCAGCTCCCTGGCCACTCCCCCAGTAGCTAAGTTGTCTGCTTTAGAAAGGCAGGATGCAGACTGTAAGGATGATTTTTGGAAGGAGCCTCACTTACAGCAGGTATGACACCCCATAGATGTCGGATTCCTCCCATAAGGGTCCCCCACTTGGGGACTCCATGTTGGATGCTGAGAAGACGTTGTCTTCAAAGTGGGGGTCCCCAAGCTGGGCATGGTAACACATTCTGTAATCCTAGTATGAGGGATCGGGAGTTCAAGGTCATCCTCCAATACATACAAAGCTAGAGTCCAGCCTGGGCTACCTGAGATCATGCCTAGAGAAAAAGGCTTCAGGGTACTGGACAGATGTGCTTCTGAGTGGTCACTTCTGCTCCCTTAGGGCCAAGCCCTCCCGCCACCCTTGGCATCTCCCATCTGGGTAGAGGCATTGCCCCAGCCACACTGTGCCTCCTGAAGAAGCAGAGAGCTGCCTTCTGCTGCGGGGCTACCACCGGCTGCTCCCTCCTCCCCTGTGGCTGTGGACTAAACACAAGGTCTGTGGCCTGACTTGGTAAGTCACAGCTGCTGCTTCTCTGGCCAGCTGTTTCTCAGACTCCTCCCCCATGATCTATGGATCATTCACAGCGGAGGCTGTGGCCTGGGATCCTTTTTTTTTTTTTTTTTTTTTTTTTTTTAGACAGGGTCTCTCTACATAGCCCTGGCTGTCCTGGAACTCACTATATAAACCAGATTGGCCTCAAACTCAAATTCACAGAACTCTGGCTACCGAGTGAGGGATTAAAGGTGTGCACCAGCTAGCTGCCAGTCTGTGCAATTTTTTAATTACTATTATTTGTAATTTATTTTACTTATATGGGGTTTTGCCTGAAGAGGTCAGAAGAGGGTGTTAGATGTTGTAGAATATTAGTTGGTGTGTTAGATTTGTTTATGCTGTGGGATATTTGTTAATGATGCAAAGATGTGTTGCATTCTTTTATGTTGTATTTGTTTCACTCTGTGAAGCTGTGTTGCTGTGCCTGTCTAAAACATCTCATGGTCTAATAAAGAGCTAAATGGCCAATAGCTAGGCAGGAGAAAAGATAGGTGGGGCTGCCAGGCAGAGAGAATAAATAGGAGGAGAAATCTGGAAGGAACAAGATCAAGGAACAAGAAAAGAAGGAGAGGAGGAGGCCAGGGGCCAGCTACCTAGTTACACAGCCAGCCACGGAGTAAGAAGGAAAGAAAGGTACACAGAATAGAGAAACTTAAAAGCTCAGAGGCAAAAAATAGATGGGGTAATTTAAGTTAAGAAAAGCTGGCTAGCTTGGTGGTGGTGGTGGTGCACGCCTTTAATCCCAGCACTTGGGAGCAGAGGCAGGTGGATCTCTGTGAGTTCGAGGCCAGCCTGGTCTACAGAGTGTGTTCCAGGATAGCCAAGGCTACCCAGAGAAACCTTGTTTCAAAAAAACCAAAAAGAAAAAAGAAAAGAAAAGCTGACTAGAAACAAGCCAAGCTAAGGCCAGGCATTCATAAGAAAGAATAAAACTCCGTGTGATTTATTTGGGAGCTATGTGGTGGGCCCCCAAAAGAGCCAAAAAGAGTACAGAGTAAAAAAAACAACAGTTGGATCCTCTGGAACTGGAGTTACAGATAGTTGCAGATGGTTGTGAACTGCTGTGTAGGTGCTGGGAACTGACCCCAGGTCCTCTGGGAGAGCAGTAAGTGCTCTTAATCACTAAACCATCTCTCCAGCCTCACCCCTTGGTGATCCTTACAGCCTTCCTGTCAGGTCAATACAGTTTTGATCCCTGTTCTACAGACGAGGAGGCTTAAAGAGGGAACGTGACTGGATCAAAGCCACTCCGTAGGCAGTGGGACCAGAGCCACGGCCCGGTACACAGTGTGGTCCTACCCACCCTTCCAGGCTTCTTGGGTGTTTCAGAGACAGGAACGAGATGGCTGCTGGCTGGGGACCTCAGGAGAGAGCTCTGCAGGACTGCCCCTCCCTCAATCCAGCTATGGGCCTAGGGGGGCCATGACATCTCCGTGACAGCTAGCTCCCCAGGGAGAGTGAAATACGCTACCCAGTGTCAGCGTGGCTGTCCCACACTCCACTCGTATTGGCTAGATTTCTGCTTGCAATTATTTTTGCATTTATTGAGTATCCGCTGAGTGCCAGAGGCAGCAGGGGAGGCCGCATGGGAAGCAGCGAGAAGACAAAGGCAGTGACTGTTTCTTCAGCTATTTTTACTCGCTGTGTGGAGGGCTGACTCCCATTTCACTGGAAGACAGTTAGCTACAGCCTGAGGCTACACAGTCGAGCGCTGATCCATCATCAGTCCGGAGGCAAAGGCAAGAGGCTCAGACCTTCAAGATCATCCTTGGCTCCCTCCACAGGGAGCTTGAGGCCTGCTGGGCAGAGGGGTGGGTGTGTGCTGAGGTTGGCACCAGTGGCCTAAGTAGTCTTTTTAACTTCTCTAGACCGGTTTACTAGGCTCCTGGGAAACCCTGAGCCTTAAAGTGGATGAGGGG